TGGGATGGATTGACGCCCTTGGCGTCTTACGTTACTGGCGGCTTGGCCCTACCTGGGTTTTTGCTGGCCCCCCCCTGACCAAAAATCCTGGCTACGCCTCTGGTGTTACCTGAGGTATAAACTTTTGTAGTGGAAATATTTAACAGAAAACTGTATTCTTCAATAACTGTGATTCACCTTTCGTAAACAGATGTTTTCAATGAAAAGTTGTAATTTAATCTTGTCATCCGATCTGTGACATCATAAACATGATGTAATTCAAAAAAAATACACAGCAAGGAAATGTACCTTTCAATTTTCAATTTTACGTGATTGCATCACTAAACGGAAACTGTACTTTCTTTTGTCAATTGGCTCTATTTTAATATATTGCACACGTAAAAACGGGTCTGTAAACACAGTTGTTACAAATCTGTTCACAAGCTGTCGACAAGTTAACAACTTGTTATCAGACTTGTTACAAGGTTAGGGTTGTTCTGACAAGTCTGATACAGTCATGATATAACAGGAATGTTAATTACAAGGTTGATGACACAAGGCTGTAACAAAATTTTTAGATCATGACTGTATCAGACTTGTTCAACAACCTTGCAACAAGTCTGACGATATCAACAAGGTTGTTACAAGTTGTCAACAGTTTGTTCCAAACTTGTTGGCAGAATTAGAAACAAGATGTGAGATTTTTACGCCTGTACTACACACGTAAAAATCACACAACTTGTCAACAAGGCGTGTCACGCAACAGGCCTGTAGCAAGCTTGTCAACAAGTTTTAACAATGCTGTTACTTGTTGACAAATTGTTGAATTGCAGGACAATAACAAGTTGTTGGAACAACTTGTAACACGTCTGTTAGCTTCTGTTGAGCTCAACAACCTTGTGGTAACAAGCAGTGCGAACACATCCTGTTGACAAGTGACCACAAGTTGTTGGAACAAGTCTGCTGCAGCCTGCAGATTTGTTACAACTTGCGCGTTTTTACGTGTTACCAAACTGGGGAAGAAAAGTTACTTTATCTGATGACCATTCAATCTGCGTATTTTTTTACACAGCAATAGCATGGTTTCTATTTAAACGGAGCGAGATGAAAACGGAGCCCAAACGCCGTTACTTTTTTGTACCTCTTACAAACCACAGTTAATAGAACAAACCAAGCATCTCAAGTGAAAACAGTAAATTTGAAGGCCTCAGTGCTCAACACCGCTATGTCGACTAACTCTGGTCGACTATGTTCCTAGGTACTAAAGTAACTAAACTCTGCTATTTTGAAATATTTTCTCCATCGTCTCCCCCCCCCCCTGTGCATATGCAAGAATTATCATAAATTATTAGAAATTCAATTGTCACGGGGGGTTGTGCATTGTTTGAACATATTTAGACAATTTAGTAGTGTTGTACAGTGATAGTTCTGTAGCTGTGTTTTGTACTATAAATTTGACAGGTTTTTGGATAATTTTTCTATATTTCTAACACGAAAATGTGAAGTTTAATTGTATAGTCTTATTGAGTAGCTACAAAGGATATATTTTTGCTTCAAATCTTTTCCAAAGCAGTTTGCTATGACAGTAAATTGTCGAAATCTTTTAAATCCATGACAACACGGTCTAGTGCGGCGTTTACCGAGGGCCAAAAGAAGGATGCTTTACGGCTTGCCAAAGGATTGTTTGAGTCCAAAGGTATGTTGTTGCTTTAAGCTGTTTAGTGGCCAGCTTTATCCATGCTGGATAGCTCTAGTAATATAGTGGTCAGTTGTACTTCTAAACTGTTCTACCTAGTATAGCAAGGGGCATCAATCTAGCTGACATATTTACATCGTTGAAAAGTATGCGTTCATTTCTTGGAAACACGCCTTGCTAGGGACGTAACATGAACTTTTGGCGGGCGTTGTTGAACTTCTGAACAGCATACAAACAAACTTATAACGAGTTCAATGTTGTTGTAGAAACGCTGCTTATGTATCGATCAATTCGAGGGGCCGACCCCGGGAATTTGAACTTTTTGAAATTTGACTAATCAAATTCTCCACCCCCTGTGCAAAAAATGTCTTCAAATGCTCCACTGTAACAAGAAATTAAGCGTTCAAATGCTCCACCTTCATATGAAAATTATGAAATATACAATTACTTTATGGTTTCCGTGTTTGGATGGCCTGATCCAAACACGCGGGAATGTTGCGAGGGTTAAGAAAAGCGAGCGAAATCATGAGCCGAAGGCGAGTGATTTTGCCCGCTTTTCTTAACTCGAGCAACATTCCCAAGTGTTTGGATCATTCCATCCAAACACGGAAACCATAAAGTGATTGTTTTATAAAATAACAACAACACGATAGCCTTCCATGTTTGGATGGCCTGATCCAAACACGGGTTTTGACCAATCAGAATACGCGTTATGTACATGTTATTTTATAACAGTAAATACAAAAAGTACAAAATATACGGAAATGTTTTTCGACAAGATAGCGAAATTCACGTAAAATGTTTGGATACAGTTTTACACAATTATGTAGTACATACCTTCAAATGAAGCACATAGATTTTCCATGCCCGTTTCTTTGAGCCAGTTTTTTACAAAATTGAGGCTGTTTCCCTCGAAATCTGAGAAAACTGTATTTGCCGCCAATGCGAAGTATTTTCTGTGCATGCAGGGGGACATATTGGGATTTACGGTATGGCGGTATTAGCTTATTTTTCTTACGGTATTTCAGTATTTTATTTGAAATCTTGCGGTACAC